GCTAAATCCTGTAAATAAGGCTGGAATCAGCTTGGTTTGGGGGAAAATAAAAAAAGCTTTAGATATCATTTCAAACTATTTAGTTACTGAAATGGAATTTTCTGTGCTTGCCAAAATGAATCCTATTCAGTGTGATGCAACAGGTGTTGGAATTCCAGCAGCCGCCTGCAACCCACATCTGGTAAGAGTTAGGAGTTTAAAGCAAGTTCTGCTTATGTATAAAAACAATTCAGCAGTCAGATCTTTGGCCCATATTCACCCACCCACCCGCCCTGTGCATAGCTCAGATTTTTATTTCCTTTACAAAACACGTAATTCTGCTCCTCACGAAATTTTAGGAATCTTACGGCACTTGTTCAGGTTGAAAGTGTGCAGTGCATTGGTATGGCTGTACTGGTGTGTCAAAGGTGATTGCCTGCAGTTCACAGAGAAGGGTGAGTACATCTATATTGGTTTTGACTAGATGTAAGTTACATCCTGACCTCTTGTATGTTCTCATCATTATTCTGCAGAATTCCTCCCCCACCTCCCATCTGCCTCATAAATAATTTATGTGCAATGCTACAATTTCAGACAGGTATTTGCCAATCAAAAACTAGAATTAACAGTAAGCACTAAATAACACTCATTCTTGTACTGCCAGACTACTGCCACTCTCAGCTGTATCTCTTCTTGTTTCCCTTCCCAACTGCAACATTAAAATCAGTAAGGCTATTCATAGGAATCAAGTGTTAGGATCACACCATTAATAATTAGCCCTTTGAACTGCCTCAGCATGACTACTCTTAACTCATCACACAGATAACCAGATCTGAAGGTACAGGAAGTAATCCTCACTCTGAGCACACATGTATAAGTTGTGCACAGAAGAAAAGCTACTGCAGTAAAACCAAGGCTAATCGTTTAGTTTTGCATTCAGTCCTGTACATACTAGATTTCAGTAGAAGGTGGGTGAAAAATAAAAACCAGACAAGTCATCAGTCTTAGGGAAGACAGAATCATTTGACCCCCCTTCCAATTAGAAAACCGTTCATGTTGATCATCACATACTGTCAGCAAGAATAAGGTCTTAGTTAATTTTTACAGCATTATATTCATGGTAAAAGAACCCACACCCATTTCCTTAACTCCCAGTTTTGTTCTGCCTTTGTGTTCCTGTGACAGCCTCCTTTCTGTTAGCCAAACACAGGTATTTAATGTAGAAACTGATAACTGCAAATCAAGGATCCCATTGGCTTTGCCACATTACTTACTGCAAGTTTACCAGCAACAAGGAAACATCAGTCCAGATACAGAGTGGTAGGAACAAGGCTGATCCTGCCTCCCGGGAATACAAGCATATCTAGAATAAAATTACAAGGAAAGGATAAAGAGCACATTTAAAATAAGAACATAATCTGAGTAGCATATAACAGGAAAATGGTATTGAGAATGTAATTATTAAATAGTTCTGCCAAAAATGCTTATGAATCATCTTTAGAACAAGAGAGACTGATCTTTTGCAGTAGTACAGCATTTTAATTCTTGACAAAATTATTTCTTCCTATTATTTCAGTCATTCTTATGGGCAGATGCTGACTTAGAACAGGAATAGAGCACAGTACTTAATCCGAAGTGGCTGTCATTAAGACATACGCAGCAGATATTATACCAAGGAATTAAGTTTTGATATGCCACAGGCCATCTCCGAACATCTTATCTATATAAACAAAAAATTTGTTATGTCTCAAGAGGCAAACTGTGTTTGCTTCCCTGACACATGAAATTTAAGATCTTGAAATAGCAAGAAACTCGATAGGCCTTTGCATATACATTATCACAGAAATGTTTTTAAAAGGAACTGATGAGAGGCATTTGAGACTATTCTGCAAAGCTCATCCTCCAGCCTAGTGCTTGCTTTCCAGACCACACACAAATGCAGAGGAAGAAACAACCTAAACTCATTTCTGTGAGTTGAACAGGAATGCTCACATAATCACTGCAACTGCTCTTAATTGGTGTGGCTCAGTTCTACATTTCAGAGCTCTTACATCTTCTGCTGCTGTGGAACTCTTTTCATGTCCTGGCAATCACAGTCCAGCCAGCAGTTTGTTTATCATATTCAGTATGAGTTTCCGGATCTCCAACAAAGTGGTATTTACTCCGAGGCAGGGAAGACTGCAGTAATCCAATAAGTTCTCATTAGCCTAAAATGCAGAAACATCTGCTGGGGTCATGAGCTGCTTACTTGCTGTTGATGAGCAAAGAATCAGCTTCATTTGAAGCTAGTGTGAACAAAAGAACTGCAGGGTCGGGGGTAGTGGTGAAGAGACAAATGGGCCTCCTGGGCTTTAGCTCTACTGTAGCACACCATGGGCAACAGGGATGCTCCCTCACCTTGAGCCCTGCTTACCCTCTTGCAGGCTTCCGAGCTGGTGCCCAAAACAGTCAGTCAACATTCACATAACTGAAGAGAACATGGCCGGAGCTCCCCAACCCCACCAGAATCCAGACAGGGCAATCTGTGCAGTGCAAACCTAGTTGAACATCTTTGCCAAAGGCTTTTTAGTCGACTAAGAAAATTTTGCAGTGGATGAGTACTTACATTTCTGTGCTCCCCCCCTTCCCTCACAGGTTCTCAGGCCTAACTGGCTCATTTCACAATCTGCTTTCAGTTTTTAGACCTCCACCCCCACCAAAAAATCCCAGCATCTAACGATACACGAATGTTAAGAAAGGGTCAATAAGAACTTCTGGCCTGAAAGATGAATACATCACTAGTAAGTACAGCAGGAATTCACAGAATAAAATTAAATCTACATTGATCCAAGCTACAGAAAGGAGAACATTATGAATTCTAGGTAAAAAAAGGAAAAAAGATTGATAACCTGAATAAAAAGAGCCTTTAAGTTGTTCAGGATTCCGACTGATATTCAGAGCATGTGACATTGTCAGAAAACAAGTGGAAAACACAAAATAAGTGGTGTCACATCTGCTTAGCTCCTGCTCCAGTGACTCTGCAGTTCTTTGTTGTTGTTTGTACAGTGTTAAATATAGCAGCATCTAATTCTGTGGCTATTTCAAGGTGGAGGAGCCTAAAACACTTCTGTAAAAAGCCAAAACAGAACCACTTAGAAAGAACATTCAGGAAAATCAAGATGGAAAAGTCTCAGTTTAAAATAGCTTAGAAACCTTTCCTGGAGAGGCTGAGCTGGTTTATCTAGCATTTGTTCTACCATTTGCACAAAGAATTACCCAAGTGCTCAGTTTAAGGAAAAGAAGGGCCAGAAGGTTCAAATCAACACCTATGCTTCTTCTGTATCAGTGACTGCACGTCCCCAGGCTCTTTATTGTTTTGTACATGCAGTTGGCCTTTAGCTCCAGGACTCCCACTTTGCTTTAGGCTTGTTGCATAGACAACGGCTGCCACCTGCAGCAGCAAGGACGAATTACTGCCCCAAACATTCATGGCCAGAGAAACCTTTCTCCACCACCCTTCTTCAAGGAAGAGAACTAACAGCATGCCACTTGACTTTAGAGTGAAAATTTTTACTGCTGCCTCTTGTAGCAGTAACACTTGGGGGGGGTGTATATATATTTATCGCATAAAATCATGGAATGGTTTGGGTTGGAAGGGACCTTAAAGCTCATCCAGTTCCAATCCCCTGCTACGGGCAGGGATACCTTCCACTACACCAGACTGCTTCAAGGCCCATACATACAGCAGTAACTTAGTGGTAGAAAATCACTTAACTGAAGATGGGTTTAATTTAAAAGTATTTCCTTAAAAAATACAATCCTTTTTAAACCAACAATAAGGTCTACTGTCAGGAAGTCCTTGGAAAGACATACTGACTTATGTCCGTGCACAGACTGAACTATCAAGACTCTATGAAGTTGATTTTCATTTCATCTCTCCTCCCTCACACTTAGAGCCTTCTGAGTCTCAGAATGACAGCTTATCATAAGCAGGTTAAAGGCACGAGGACACAAATATTATCCAAAGAAATATAATAGGAAATATCCTAGGAAAACCAGCTGTTTGATCAGCAGTTTCATCATATAGGAGCCTTTCTGCCAAGATCTCTATTCATCAAAATCAAACAGCTAACCTACAACTTGACTGCTTAGCAAAGTCCCCCATCCAGCGGCCAACGCTGTAGGTGCAGCTCAGGCCCCTGACCCAGAGCATGGTTCTGCTGGGTGCAGGACCTATGACCCATGCATTGAATGGCAGATCACAAGGGAACTATTAAGTGCAGCTCATCTAAACATGTTTGAGGAAGAAGAAGTGACAGATTAATAGCTCATGGATAAGCTGCTGCCACAAAAATGGCACTGATATGATATACAAGGAGGGTCTTAGTAGCTTGTACGTATCACCTAGTCAGCCAGTGCATGGCACATCTTACTGATCCAGTTACTGTAGCTTAATATACTACTAATTTTTATGAAAAGGAGACGAGAATCTAGTTAGACCCTCAGTAATACAATGAAGAAAGTCTGAATAGCATTTCAAGGAGTACAAGGAGAACACTCCAATACTTTTGAGCAGGCCCCAAAGCTTTCTAGACACAGCTCAAGCCATAAATGTACCACTGCAGACAATGCAAAGCAAAGCTTTTAAAAAACCATCACAGAAAGAGGTTCCATAGGTAAAACAAAACAGCAAAACAAAACAGGATACAGCATGTCTTTCAGAGAGAAATGCATTCCATATGCAAAAATGTAAAGTACATTGAGAAAACATGCCACATCTGGCATGTATGTTCGTAACAGATCCCACTCACCCCCAGGCACTTACTCAGTAGTTACGTTTGAGGTTTCTCTGAACATTCACAGTCTTCTGGCCTCAGCACTTTGGGTGCCAGTAGGTCCTGGCTTGACACTGGGGCTCATTAGTGCTTGCAAGTCCATCACCACATATATTGTGTGGCACTAGCCCTGTGTAAGCCCAGACAGAATCAAAAGCTTCTGTAGGAAATCAGTTAAGATACTCAAACATGAATGCTATTGATATCGCAGTGGAAAATAGTCTTTATTATTAAAAAGAATAAACTCCTTCAAGAGGAGTCAGATGAATACAAAAGCATTTATGATTTTAATAATTTGATTCTGACACAATTAGGCAACAAGTTACCAAAACTTTTCACTTGTTACAAGTAACTTGAGTTCCTTACAACTATCAGCCTCGTTACTTACTACCCACGTAGCTTTTCCTCTCAGCAAATCCAGAAATAAGGGACAATAAAGTGTTCCTCCAAAAGCTGGTCATGGAGGGACCAATTATCATCCCTACAGAACCTCCTAACAAGATCAGCAGATGCGCAGTACCACATACGCAATTCCACATCTAGATTCTGATACGTTGTTCTGTAAGGAGCACTACTTTGGAAAGAGATGCAAATCAGTGTCCCCGAAACCAGTACAAGAAAGTAAACCAAGAACTTTCATAATACATAGCCTATATTTGCCAATAACTTTTCTTATTCTTTACCTTTTAGTACTGTCAAGGCAGAAAGGGATGAGAAAGGGGTCACAGAAATTCACGTTCAAAATCAAAGTCTCCTCATGGGACAGCATGTAGAACAAAACTCCTTTTTTCCTTATCAGTAAGCACATGTGCTGCTGGTTTCATATTCTCGTATAACTGAAAATTTGGACAAGTTATACTTTCATACAAGTAAAAAGGTAACAAATCTGCTGGCACTGACTTAGTAACCCCCACTTAACAAAACAATACACAAACTTATTTGAAGTACCAGCGCTTCATAACATCTAGTCCATGCTTCTCTTCACATTTTCTTTGGTTACACAGAGAAACTTCTTTACTAACTTCAGAGTACAGGTTCAGCATTCTTGTGAAGCTCCTGGAACAAAGGAAGCAAGTTATATCAGTTACTCTGGGGGGTAACAACTCCTGCTTAAGCCCAAAGCCTGGACATTTGCATCATTCTCCTACCAAGGAGCCACCAGAAGAAAAACTGTAAACCATGAAGTTTCTTCCCAAAGGCTAGAATTTGGAGGAGAGGAGGGGCAGTTTGCAGGAGGGGGGATACGTGGCTTTATGGTCTATCAATCTGCTAAGATTTCAGCTGTAATCTTTTCTGGGGCAACAAAGAAAGTAAAGGAAATATATCATGCTTCATCTCTTCTTTACACTCTCAGCAATACTTCGTATTTGTTGACACAGTATCTGAGGGGAAAAAAAAAACAACTTTTCTGTGCTCCTCATACCTCCTAATGGATACTTGCATGGTTATTATTTAAGACAGAAAAGTAAACTAGAAGCACTCTGTGTCCTGCAGTTCTCCACTCTCCTGCATACTTGTACTTTATCAGGGCTATTGTTCACCAAATTTCTCAGCTAGTGTCAGAGAGTGGCACACTAAAGCAGTTTGCTTAAAATACACAAACGAAAAACCACAACCACCTTTGACCATAGGTAAGGTAGGGACACAAATACGGGTGTTCGCTATGAACTGAACAGAATTAAACTTAGTGCTACTATCCCCTCAATTCATCCTTCCCCAATATATGTTCTTGATCTATATTGGCAACATATACAGATTTTCCTCTGAATATTTAGCCAATGAGTCTTCAACTGATTGCTGTAAATACCTTTGAAGCTCTTCATCCACTTCCTGAGACACTTCTTTAAGCTCTTTCAGTATGCTAAATGCTTTTGTACTTTCTTCCGAGTAGCTTGGTGTAAGTTCTGTCAGAAGCTCCTCTGAGATCTTTAACTGTTTTCGCAGTTCTTCTACAATAGGAGACGTTAAAGATACTATTAAAAAATGCAAAGTGGCATAAGTTAATACAAGATTACATAATAACTGCAGTAACTACAGAGACAAGTGAATTAGAAGATGGAAACCTACTGTTTGTTCAGCTTTCACAAACACACCATGAGAAAACTGTGAAAGCCAAATTATTTTTAGCTATTGTGACCAGCAAGAGGCTATTAAAATGGCTAATCAAGCTCTCATTTAGAGTATGTCAAAGATTTTTATGACAAATGCAAGAGAAAGAACAAGTTTTAAACATTCAAAATTTCCTGTTGTTCTGGTTTCATCTGGGGTAGAAGTAATTGTCTTCCTAGTAGGTGGTGCAGTGCTGTGTTTTGGCTTTAATCTCAGAATAGTGCTGATAACATACCGATAGTTAAGTCGTTGCCAAGAATCTCTTTTCTTACCCACCAGCAGTTTAAAACTGTAACTCTTTGTCCAGACTTCAATACAAACCACAAGTACTAATTCATTAACAAACATTCTCTGATTCTAGACAACACACGATGCATTCAAGCACTAGTTCTGCAAGAAACATGTGCAAGTGTACCCCTCTAACAGAGAAATAAGAGATAACAGTACTTCAGCAACTTTCTTACTTCATCAGGAAGAAAGGAGGAGGAAAGCCATGAATACAGTTAAAAGCAAGTCTGATGAATCAAATTTTCATACCAAGGTATTTTTGCATATCTCCTTCTATGTGAATATTCTTTATGGGTAATTCATGTCTAGTGGCATCCAGGGAAACTGCAAATCTTTTATACCTCTCCTGAAGTTCTTCACAAACAGGAAGAAGGGAAGAAAGTAAATCCATCTGAAAAAGACATGAGGAACCAACATTTCTTCAAAAGCAAACACAGGTTCAGTTCTGAAAATTAAATCTCAAAAGAACTTTGTTATTCATTAGCAACTTGCTTTCTTACAACCAGGCCAGACCTACTGCTGTCCGGCATCTAAATAGAAGACAAATAAAGATGTTCACTTCTCGTCTCAGGGCTAGCACCTCAGCTCTAGACACAACTGTGTAACTGCAGGATGCTCATGGGGCTTATGATACTCCCATCTCCTATGCACCAGCTGCAGACTGCTCTGACAATCAGTGTTTGCCTATTGCATGCCTGACAGTTCTAAATTCTCCTGACTATCCAAGAGGGACAGCAAAACAAGGACAAAGGCATTTGCTTAGGTTACTAGAGAGCGTTACATGCCACAACAGGAAGTACATATGTATTCTGTTTAAGATGCATAAAATTGTACCCCAGCAGGCCACAGAAGCACAGATACCTCCCCTGAATAAAGGGAACAAAGCTCACCTCATAAGTGAGCTTGTTTAAATATAGGAGAAGCATAAATTGTAATAAAGCCTACCTGTTTGTCTAATGCATCATTAAGTTTCTGCTCTCTTTCTTGAAGTAGAATGTCACGCTTCAACTCACAGAGCTTCTTATGTTCTCTCTCCTTTTCTTCATACAACATTAACAAGTTTTTTTCTGCTTCTTTCTCCAGCTTGGCAAGGTTTTTTTCTGCCTATTACATCCAAAAAATATTCACAGCTAAATTAATACTATATCCAGGTTAATTAACACACTCTGAATAAACAAATGTAAGCCGTGGCCCAGGTCAAAGAGCTTCAGTTACTGAACTGGAGACCTCATGCAATGAGCACAGTATGTTATCCCCGCCATCTTCTTCCCCCACCCCGCAAATGTTTTTTGTAAAGGAGAAGTGTACTTGTACAACACTGAGCGAACAAAGTCACTGCTACAACCTTGAACTCCAAACGCTTTTCTGGCATTCCCAAAACTTCTGTGCATCCCTACCTCATGAAGGACCAGCAAAAGCTTAACAAACCGACGTTGGATTCACTCTAAGAGTTTTCAAAGCAAGTCATATAATTTTATAACCATCAACACAGAAAGTCTCAAAATGCAGCTTTTAAGGCACAGACAAGAAGTTAAACAATTCCTGAATATCAAGTTCTTCTACCTGAAACACCAAATACTTGACTGAATCTCACCTTTAGTCTTAGGTAAGTTAAAAGCAGTGTCTGAGATTCCAGTTCTTCTATTACATCATCAGGATCACTTTCCTTCGAAAAAGAACAGAATATACTAGATCAATTTTGGTATTTAAACAATTACATATTCAAATAAATTACTGAAAGTCCATTTTGTGCCCAGAATCATCATCAACAACCGTCAGCTCAGTGAAAACAGTTTGTTTTTTTTTAAAACAAGTTGTTAATTAAATATACCTCTTTGTTCCACCACTTTTCAAAGCATTTTCAGCAGGTAACACTGGTAGAGAACTTGAAGTTTCAGTGCTAGGTTGAATGAGATGCCTAAACAAGGCACCTCAAATTAGACTGAATGAACATTAGTGATCTGTGCAAAAATGTCAGAAAATATTTAAAGATAATAAGAATACAAAAAGAAGCCAGTTGAGGGGATGCTACAACTGGAGCAGATTCTTTACCACAGGAAATGTAAGCAAAGCTTCAGACAGCATTAGAGCACCTTATAAGCAACGCAAACATCGCTATCAGTAGAAAAGACTTATCCTCTGACTTTAGGTCATCCCAGGATAATCATCCCAGTTGTTATCAAAATTAAAGACAAAATCTTCATTTCATGCATTTCAAAATACATGTGCTTAACAAATGAAAGCAGTGACTCACCTCTGCTTCAAAGTTTTGACGTGTACCTTTTTTGTGACGAGGTTCTGAATCAGAAGGCTTTTTGCGCGTGCTTTTATCTGAATCATAACAGAAAAGTTATTGCTCTCTTCTACCAAGGTATATACAATGGGTTAACATATGTCCTGGGCTCAGCAGTAACAGTTATTTTTCTCCTTCCTAGTAGCTGGTGCAGTGCCAGGGAACAAATATTCAGAGTACTTTGTCCTTTAATATTCAATTGTAAACAAAAAGAACACACAAAAGATATTTAAAACTGAAGTTAATTTAAACCCTGGAGGTCTTAATACCTCCACTTAAAGACACTTGAAACAACATTAGTCTTATTTAACAAAATCTTTTTGTGAATATAGAAGAATACAAGGGTTACTTATCACAAGTTACAGCACATGCAGCAAAAATAATAAAACAAGGAACTGAGCAGAAGTGGAAGCTTACCACTAACAGCTGAAAGATCTATGTCCGGCAGATCAGCTTTAGCCTCATCTAGTAAAGTGGACTGCAAGTAACATTTCTCAAAACTACCTTTATTTAATGAGCTGGAGGCAACACCTGTAGAAAGAAGTTGTTATCAAACTAAAAGAATTAGAACAGGCTCGGCACAAATTCACAGTTCCATATTCTTTCAGTAACGTGGCAACCTTACACAAGTTTTTACGCATGTACTTTATATGCATCATTAGCATACTCCCTCTCTTACACAGAGATAACTTAGTGCAGGCTGTTGTCTTAAACACAGGTCAACAACACTCAGATGTTAAGAGGGAACAATGTTATTTCTTCAGGATATTTCAAGACAAGGCCTTGCAGAAAGCTTTTTGCAACCCAAAGAAATAAAAACTGTTTTGCAGACAGGAATTTTTCAGCCCTTTACACTGGGTTTATTGAAAATACTAAATTTTAAAAAAGCAGAGCAATGGTGAGGGCATAGTAAAAGAGCAGTTCAAAGCCATAGGCAGAAGGCATGAGAGGTGCTTATTTTAGACAATCAAATGATGCAATTCCAGATCCGGACAAGAGTTTAATGCACTTGAGTTTACCCCTCTTAATCCCACATCAAATTAATTAATTCAGATAACTGACAGCAGTGCAGTTAATACAAAATACGATCTCTTAGCAACATTTTAGAGTTGGTAAGAGTTCCACAGGTTAGAAATACAAATTCACAAAAGAACAGCTTTGAAACTCTGGTAAAACCTACCAGCAGGAGTTCTACATTTCCGAGAAGAAACTGTTCTTGCTGTAACTGCAGATGACGGTTTAGAAGTGGACTTTGCTGAAGCACCCTGACAATCAAGAAACAGATAAGACTGAACTGTACACTGTGACTGCAATCTGCACTGTGTCTTACCCCCCACTTGAATGCTGACAATAAACAACTATAATCCCACGGCTGTTTAGTGCTTTACAAGTCATCTGAGCACTGTCCCAAATTCCCACCCCACTCTGCATCTCCGCATCATCCCATAACTCCCTCATAACCCCAGCAGTCTGGCTGCCACACGTCCGAGCCGCCCTCATCGTTTCCACCCCTTCGCTGAACAGCACCTAAGCTCACCAGGGAGGAATCCAAATGCCTCTGGGAGTCCTTCTTGACGTCCTTCTTCTCGTACTGCAGGTAGCGAGACTTCACGATTCTTCCTCCTGAAGGAGCAAAGAGAGCTCAGGCGGGATCACCTCAGCTTCCCGCCTCAGCCGGAGCGGGATCACCTCAGCTTCCCGCCTCAGCCGGAGCGGGATCACCTCAGCTTCCCGCCTCAGCCGGAGCGGGATCACCTCAGCTTCCCGCCTCAGCCGGAGCGGGATCACCTCAGCTTCCCGCCTCAGCCGGAGCGGGATCACCTCAGCTTCCCGCCTCAGCCGGAGCGGGCCCACCTCAGCTTCCCGCCTCAGCCGGAGCGGGCTCACCCTCTCGCTCACCTTTCCTCTTTGTCTTGGGCTCTCCTCCGCCTGCCACAGCAGCCCCGGGGCCGCTCCCGCCGGCGGACATCCTGCAGGGGCGGAGCGGGAGCCGCCAACAGCGGCAACGGGCCGCTCCTTCCCGCCTCCGCCGCGTTCGAACGGTGGCGCGCGAGCAGCGCCGGCCGCGCTCCGGCTCCGACAGCGCACCCCCTGTCGGGGCGGAAGAATAGAACCAGCCTCCGAGCCGCAGGTGGGGGGGTCACAACGGGGCCCAAACCTTCCCCAGACCCTCGGAGAGAGGAGGCTGCTCTCTGCAGCGGCGGTGGGGATGCCGGGGCTCCTAGAAATGGCTGGAGAAAGGCGGTGAGCACCGCAACCAGCCCCTGCACCACAGCGGGACGCCCCCCCCCAGCAGCACCGTGAGGTGACGCTCCCAGCACTGCGGTTCTTCGGCTTTCACCCAAATCCGCCCGCTCTTGCTCCTCGCTTCCTACCTCAGAAAACACCCGGCGAGCACCGGCTCCCTCTGTGGGAAGCTGCAGACGGAGCAGGGCCAAGCCGAGCACCGACGGCCTCAGCCCCGGAGCGACGCTTCGCGTTTCCCGCCCCGGAGCCGCCCGCCCTGAGCGCGGCGCTTGCGCTATGTGCACGCCGAGCTGAATGGGAGCCGCCCTGCCTCCCCCGGTACCCGGAAGTGGCGGAGCGGGGCCTGTGGCGGGAGGCGGTGCTGGTCGCCAGCGCTTCACCCACCGGCTGAGGTAAAGGGCGGCGGAGCGCGACCCCGTGCCCCCGCTGGGCGCCCTCTCGTCCTCCTTCCTTTCCTTCTTTCCTCTTTCTCCTTTTCTATGGGCGATTGAGCTCTGTAGAGGAGCCACTTCAGCGGGACCGGGTCTCCCCCCGAACCTGGGCGCTGTGAGGCGGGCGGAGGAGTCCCGTGTGTGTGGAGAGGGATCGGGGGGTGTCTGGCGGGCGGGAGCTGCGGGGCTCTGCCGCTTCCCTTAGGAGCCTGGGGCCGGGAGCCGTGCCCCGGGGCGGCGGGCGCTGGAGAGGGCGCTGCTTGGGGCCGGGAGCCGTGCCCCGGGGCGGCGGGCGCTGGAGAGGGCGCTGCTTGGGGCCGGGAGCCGTGCCCCGGGGCGGCGGGCGCTGGAGAGGGCGCTGCTTGGGGCGGGGGGGCGCGGGCTGGAGCTGAGGGGGCTCCTCACGACCGGGGGCGGGCAGCGGCTTGGCTGCTCGCTCGTTTTGCATCTGACGTTGGACGTGCCCGAGGGGAAGGAGCGCTCCGCGCCGCCCGCCGGTGCCTCCCGTCTCTCGGGCGATGTGAACTGCCATCGCCCGTTACTGATCTTCAGCGCGCAGCGTTCTGCAGTTTCATGGGATGTCTCTAGGTCTCGGTGTGAGCAGCCTGTGAGCTCTCGTACGAATATCTCAGCATCTTTCAAAAAAACCCGCTGGGTTCTTTTGTTTCTTTTGTTTTATCTTTGGGCAACTCTTGACAATATCAGTGTCGCTAGTGCATTGAGGGCGTGCTTTATCACGGTGACCATCGCTGCCTAGCAGATACATGTCTGTAGCTCTGTCCTGGTAGTGCTGCGTCTTTTGGGTAAGTTCGGTTTTGCAATCTCTGAAAAGTAAAACTTGTGCAAGAAGGGAACATCTCTTTGTAATGTGGTTATAGACTAAAAGTAGCAGAGTCCTGTCCTGCTTCATGACTGTTGTGACCACACAGTTGGTACAGGTATGTGTAATCCTAATACAAGATGACTTCCCAGCCTTGTTTTTTGTTACCTCATGAGTATTTCGGCAAATTCTTACCAAGCTTTGTTTGCAAGTCCTGTTTGTGTAAAGTGAGAAGTAGCTTGGATGTAAAGGAGTTCGGTATTCTTTGATTTCACCTTCTAGAAATGGGTGGCAGTGTAGCAAAGGGCTGGAGATGATCTCAGGCTTCTGGCAAATACAATTAGCCTTTCAAAGATGTCATCAGCATCCTCCCACATTGCGCCTAGAGGTGGATTGGTATCGGTTTGTCTACAGAGATGTTTGCAAATAAGAGCTTGTCATGGGTAATTAGAAGCTCTCTGATTCCTGGTCTGGTAGCTAGAATATATGGCTGAAGTACTTGCCCTAAAGTAACAGTGAGGTAATCCTGCATTCCGGTATAGTGTATTGGTGTCACACCCCTCAAGTTTTAGTAAGTCTTTGGTGTCTTTTACTCAGAGTCTTGTCAGGAACAAGTCCACTTGATGTAGGGGAAGCAATATGGGGAACTTCTAATGCACGTATGTATTCATATTGGCTGCAAGATTCATTGAGGCTCTTTTCTGAAAAGAGTGAATCTTTGTTCTTTGTCTTTGAACTACGATGAGATTTTTCTACCTTCTCTGCAGTTAAGTCCAGAAACATTGTGCTTTCCAGGATGATGCATCTAAGGCCATTTCCTTAACCATTAGCGTTTACTTATTAGCATAAAATTCAGGAGTTAAATGCAGTAATGTGACCCAACTGTTTTTGTAGAACTGTACTTACTTGGGTTGTTTGGGATTTCTTTGATGGTTGTTTTGGGTTGGCTTGTTTTTTTGCCCTGCTTGAACGTTTGTCTCAACAAAAGCTTTTTCAGCAGTTGAGTGTTGCAGTTTCTGCAGTAACAGGGCAGCTATCTGTGCAAACGGATAGCCTAATCAGTAGGAAAAAAGACCATAGGTTTGTGGGGTTTGGTGGAACCCAAAATGAACATAGAACTGAATAATTTAGGAAGAGTTAAATGCAGCTGATAAAAAATTGAAACGAGCTTCACTTAGAAGCTAATGCTTTGTACAGACTGAGTTTTCTGACAAATAATGATTCAAACATTAGGCCTCTTGAATAATCCTGTGTATGAATAACTGTTTGACTCATAGGCACATAGTTCAGTATTGCTTCAGCTACATACGGCCTTTCCTTAACTGGATGGTCAAATACCATGATTTGTGTATCAGGGGCATTGAAAAAGAAAACATTCCTGAAAGACGCGACAGTATGAGCTATCTCAACAGTCAAGGAGAAGAGTGAAAAATCATGATGCAAAAGTAAGTTTGTGGTTCGGTACTTTTTTTGTGACTCTGAAGGCATTTATTCATCACATTTCCAAGAAACAAGACCTATTAGCAAGGAGAAGTAAAGCCTGAAATGCTGATAAGGATTTATTTTTTTTCAATAGCCAGCTATTTTAACAGATGATCTGCCTTCTGAAAGGACCGGGAGTGTCTTTATTTCAGAAAATGAAAGTTCAGAGATTTTGTCTCTAGTATATCATGTTTTCTTGATGTATCAAATGACTTGAGTGGGGCTTGCAGAGTTGCTTTTATCTAGGCTTTATTGTGTTGTTTGTGTCTCATTACAAAATGAAACTCAATGCAGATCCTAGAAAAATATGTTACTCCTTTAAACACCAGCAAGGCTTAACAATAAAAGTGTTTAAACCTGAAGTTTCTGAAGAAAATTTCTTATCAGTGTAAATGCAGCCTTAGACCAGTGAAATTTTTACTACAAAAAATGGTAGTATAGTCTCCAAGGTTCTTCTGGCTTATGTTCTTAGCCTCTAACACTCTCAGTTGTTTTCCCTTCATTCCTTGTTTTCTCGACAGAGCCACATTTTCATTTCCTCTGAATCATGCTCAAGCGTACATCTGTAACTCTGATATCATACCTTTTGTAAGGTAATAACATGTTATAGATCTTTAATGTCGCCAGAAGCGTGATAAGGTGTCCTTGTCTTGAGGTTAAATTGTGCATCTGAGTCATCAAGAGGAAGTAGAGGTCTGTATCTTGGGTGGTTCAAGGGTGTAGATTGGGATTGGGGTCTCAAGGGCCAGAGGGAACGGAGAGAAGGTAAAGAGGAACTGCTTGTAATGAAGGTAATTTCTTTGACTTTTTCCTGTGTTATGTTGCATTACTTACATTGCAGTCCAGCTTCTCCTTTGTTACGAAGTCTGTGGCAGTAACTTCTCTGCTAGGGTTGATTACAAACAGTAGTAACAAATGTGTTGTAGATTTGCATGCTCCATTCAGAACCACTCCTTTTGGAGTAGAGAAAGCCAAGAACTTTTAGTTAAACCAAGGATCTGAAGTTCAGTCCAACGGAACTTTTTATGACCAAGAAAAATACCGAAGTGTTAACAGAATTGAGCAATTTTGAGGTAGTGTCCACGAATGTCTGGAATACTGGAGAAGAAAGAAATAACATTAATTATGCTCAACAGCAACTGTATGTCCTTGTGACAGGAGATAAGAGTTGAGGCCTTTGCCTTCCCTGTAATGCAGTTAATTGTGAAAACAAACTTTAGAGTGTCTTTGTAGCCTGTTTTGCTGGAAATTCCTTGCTTTGGAAATCAAAGATATTAACAGCTAAAAGTTTTTGAAGTTGCTTTTTCAATTTGACAGACACAAGGTCTCTTTTAGGAATGGTCATAGGCAATTCTGGTATTCCAGAAGATGAGAGGTACTGGAGGATTAGATCAGGCACTTTGTGGTGTGTTTCTACTTTTGTGTTGAAAATGACTTGAACAATGGGAGAAGCTTGGATCATTCCGTTTGAGGAATGCAGCGCTGGAAATGTACATGAAAATATGAAGAACTAGAATATTCTGAAGCTCATCCTCACCAATTTTGCTGTAATGGTAGCTTTCCCTTTTTAGCTTTGCTATGATTCATTGACTAAATATGTGGCTTCAAATTATAGCCTTATTTAAACTAAACAGATACCCTGTGCTGATTGGGGTGAAATTCTCTTCTGGACTTTTACCACATTATTAAGTGCATGATGTTGGCTTTAATGCATATTAAAAATTAACTGGCTTGATAGAGACTTGCAAAAACTTACTTATTTTCTTAAGCAAATGAAAGTATTAATTGATATGTAATATGAAAAGAAATATGTCATTAGACTGTTGCCTTTATAAGCTTATTATGTTGGTGCTATTAACAAATATGCTGTAGATCTTAAGAAGGATGGGGTAGGGGAAGGTAACAAAACCCTGAAAAGAGGTTTTAGATGGGTTAGAATTCTTCCATTTTTCTAGTCCTGTTGGAATTACCCTTCTAGGACAGTCAAGTAAAGGTGGCCTCTGA